GGTTGACTTTCGGCCACCCTCAGGGTGGCTACTTACAATATCAGGGATTGGGAGGTGTGAACAGGATGGGTGGTAGATCTGAGGGAGAGGCGATCTGCTTGGTAGGGAGGTCGCAAACCACTCATGGTTTTGCATGTCAAAATATCTTCAACTTGGCTCTGAAGCATACCAGCAGCCACTTTGCTCCATGTCTCACTTGGAACCAAAAAAAAAAAAAAATCCAGCTTGTGTTCCTAAGTGTTTTTCAGGCTTACAGTTGTGTAATTGGCTATGACAAACAACATTTTGTAGAGTAAGAAGATTTTCCATTTCATGTTAGGAGAATGAGAAACAGACATTGCCCAAAGGGTATAAGAGGGCCACTGCCCTGCTCCTTAATTAGTATCATAACAATAAAATCTGACAAACATTGAAATACAAGGTGCCCCCCTAGTAATTTTAAAAGATCTTAATAATTTAAATTACCTTTGTTCCAGTGCAATTTTTAACATATCTATCCAACACTGATCTTGTCAGTATAAAAGAATACTGTACTATATCAGCTTGGTTGAAATCTACACAATCAAAGTTTTGTTTACTAACTCTTTACTTGTTATTGAGGACACACACAGAGAGAGAGAGCTATATGTTCTGGTACTGTTTGGACTTTCCCCACTTTTTCTGATCCAAAAGGAGAAAAATATATACGTTGTTGTATAAGAAGAAGTAGTGATGTACTGTACTTTGTGGGAGTCATAGACCATAGGTGGACTACGTCACTTTTAAGTAACCTGAAGCAGATAATCAAAATTACCATGGTAACTTCCAGGTACACATTTTCAGTACAGATATTTTACAGTAGAAAAGTGACAACATATTTTTTCTTCAAAGAGGGAAAGTACCTCCACTAAAGTATTTTATGCAATACCATGTTCTCTGTCTTTGAAGACTAAAGATCCATTTTATGCATTCTAAACTGCATGTCTTCTGTAAAGATGGAGCCTAGATCCTATGAAAAGTGGTTGCAATTTTCCAGCTTTAAATAGTTCTGCTTCCCATTCTGCAGTTTGTGAAGTCTGCCCTAGGATGAAGGCAATCCCCAGGCATCCATGAAACCTGTGGAGGGAGTGAGTTTTTTAAATAAGCTTTTTACTGTCCCGAAATAGCCACAGAATGGCCATCACTAATAATGTTGTCTTTATGTAATGCAAAGTTGTGCAACAGGATTTCAGCCAGTGTTTTAACAGCAAATGGTATAATGGCAAAAAGGAGTACCGTAGTTTTCTGTGTGATACTTTCATCTAAAATCTTTAGACTAAAAATTGAGGGTCGTCTTATACATGGAAGTAAGGGGGAAAGGGATCAAAGTGCTGCAGAATTGCAGCCATTTGATCCTGCAGCCCTTTGATTGATGCTTTCCCCCTCCACTTCCACAGCCCAAATTTTCTTATTTGGGGTTGAAAAAGTGGGGGCGTCTTATACATTGGTTCTTCTTATACATGGCAAATACGGTATTGATTCCAAATGGTTATGAATGCCTCTAAGAACCTGAACAGTCAGGAACTGAAATCCTATTCATGAAAGTTCTGTGGCAATGTTTTGGAAATGAAACATTTCTCTTTTTATCCCCTTGCCTCCACACATCACAAATAATCCCTTTCATCATCAAGAATCCATGAAGGCTGGTGACAGGAGGAATAAATCTTTAATTTCCAAAAATTGCCATAGCCTACAACATCACCATTAGTCTTAAATGGAATGTACACAAACAGGATTTCAGCCAATATATTTAGTAATATATAGTCAAACATTTATTTCATATTTGCATTGTTCCTTTCCCACCAAAGATTGGTTGTAATCTCAGCTATTGTGGCTTTAGCTGTGGAAGCTATGAATAGTGAAATTGTATTACATCCAAACTAGTTTCCCAGTGTCGGATCAGAAGGTCTGAACATTGTCTCTGAGACCCTATACTGTTCGAGACCTCTCAGAACAATCATAAGCCTATGTTCGCCACAACCAACATTCTCTCTGTTAGACATTAACCCTGTCAGCTGCAACAATTTAGGAATTCAGGAAATCTAACCTGTGTACTGGCTTCCAAGGAAAAAATGATTATGGTGAATAGTCCTGAAATGTGAAATCTACTCAAAAGCAATAAACCATGTAATGGTTTCCTTAAATATGAATCATGTTATTATAACATGTATAACTTTGTTTCTACATTTTAAATTGTTTATACTATATGTTGTTAGCCGCCCAGAGTAGTCAGTCGACTAAATGGGTGGGGTATACATTCAGTAAATAAATAAATAAATAAATAAATAAATAAATAAATAAATAAATAAATAAATAAATAAATAAATAAATAAATAAATAAATAAATAAATATAAACATGAGCCTATGTGGACCGTAGCTCACTTCATCAGATGCAGAAGAGTTATCTGGAATTTTAAGTAAATTGCAATATGTCTATGTGACGTCCACCTTCGTGCCCCTTTGCTTGACCTTCAAGCCTCAGAGCACACAAAGGCAAACACTCTCTTCTTTTACACTTGCTGCCACCAGGTGATCTCTAAATCACCATTACTTCAGAAAGATTCAGGTCCACACTTCAAGTTCTTTTAAATAAAACTTTGGTTTATTGATTACAGAGATTCATAAATATATTCAGTAGCTAATCACATCTAAATTTCCCAAACTACACACTCTATTACAGTACTTTGTCTCTCTTTCACTCTGCACACTGACTCTTACATTTCTCTAACTGACTCTTTCTGATCTAAACTGCTCTTTACTCTCTGACTCCGCCTCTTATAGCATCTCTCTCGGCTCCACCTCACAGCAATATGAATATTCATAAACCATTACATAATACAACAAGAATCATAGATCTAATAAATGGAGAATGCTACAGTCTAGTTGAGGGTATGCTTGTGTAGACTGTGTAGTTGGAGGGAAATTATATGCAAAAAGTACGGACAGCAACAAGTATGATACTGTATTATAAGAACAGCCAGTTTTAATCATGCAGTTGTCACAGCAAATTACACACTATGTTAATACTTTTTATTACTGTTCATGTCCTTGTTTTTACAATTGCTTCTGAAGAAAAGCTTCAGACTTCTTACCTGACAAATTGAGCTTAATCAACTCTTTTCCTAGGAGTCTTTGCAGTTAAAGGATATTTGTACTGTATTTCTGTTTAGATTATAAAAATCATTTCTAAATTTTCATATATCTGTATGAACTAATATATGCACATTTTATGCACATTTGTGTGATCTTTATTTTCTGAAGATTCCTTCCTTCCTTGACCATTCATATGTGGCCACCCTGGACATATACAGTATGAAATACAATTAGTAGGTGCACATTTCAACAAAAAATCCTAACTAAATTTAAATGTATTATTTTAATATTGTTAGCAACGTGTATTTGCTTGCAAGCAGAGGAAACTATACTCATCAGTTATCTTACGCTACAAAAATTATAGCAGAATTAATGTCAGGCTTACAAGAAAATGTCAGATGAGATAAACCTGATACCCAAATGTTAAAACGATATAGTTATAGGTACGCTAAAACATCTTGCAAGTCTGTAAGGGCTAGCCTTTTCAGACTTGGATGGACAGAGCAATTGGTTAGTCACCCGTTACCAGTACAAACACTATTGTGGAATTAGAAGCTTGGATTAGGATCCAATCTATATATATGTGGCTAAAAGGACAGTTAAACCCAAAAGGCCTATTTTCCTTGATATTTCATGATAACTATCAATCCAAGTGGGTTAAATCGGTCCAGGGCTACTTGGGGAAAATTGACCTCTCACCTCAGGCATATCTTCTGGAATAGAGCAGGCAAAAGAAATAGTTAAACAAAGAATAGAGGGCAATGAATATCAAACAGACCTCTCTAGCATTCAAAACATGGCAGCAAGGACTTACATCAAAAACTGTATGGACCCAGCCAAATACTTAACGTCTTTGGAAATTAAAGGAACTAGAAGAGCCTTTACTTTGACAAGGTGTTTGGCCCTCCCCTCTGCTGTACTAGAAGGGAAGTATAAAAATACAGTGGTGCCTCGCAAGACGATTGCCTCACGGGGCGAAAAACCCGCAAGACAATTGGTTTTCGCGATCCCTATGGTGCTTCACAAGATGGTTTTTTCTATGACCATGCTTCGCAAGATAATTTTTTTCACAAGATGATGATTTTTGCAGAACGAATTTCAATCGTCTTGCGAGGCACCACTGTACTCCTTTTGCTGAAAGGTTATGCTCCTGCCACCTGAGGGAGATCGAGACCATACAGCATACGTTCTTCTCCTGCCTATTGTATGAAGCAGTGTGAAAAGAGACTATAACCCCCTTAATAGATAGATTCCCAGGACGTTCTGAGGGAAATAGGCTCGAGTTCCTTCTCTCAGATGTTGATGTGCAGATCACCTGTCGGGTTGCGAGGTTCTGTGTAGCAATACTTCAATTGCGGAAGTTAAATACCAATTAGATCGCAGTTCCCAGTTGTATGTATGCCAACATGTTCTAATGGAATATTGAAAGTTAGAAATGTTAAGGTTTTATAAGGTTTTATACTTATGTGACTGGTCTAAGGACCGTAAATAAACTATTATTATGATTATTATAATTGTGGAATTATCTGTACCGCAACATAAGTATTGGCTCACATATAAATAGCAATTGTTGGTGCCAATGTTGGAAAGAAATCTAATGGAATGGACTGCAATCCACAAAAGCTTATGGCAAATAAAATGCCTTTGTCTTTAAGATGCTGCTTGGCCCTCTGCTATTTTTACTGCAACCGACCAACATAGCTACCTAGAAATCTTTTCCAAGTGTTGTTAGCCGAAGTATCTAAAATTTAAGCATAGCACTGCATACAAAATTAAAACAATACAGACTCTACCTCCAGTCTTATAAATTACAAAATGTGGCAGAGAAAAGAAGTGGGAGAAAAGAGGTAAACAAACTCGGGGCTTTACTAAATACGACACAAAATACCTCTAAGATCTTCATGTTGTCCACTGTACCTCATGGTCAAATAAGCCCTGATGTTGAAACCTGAGGAATAAATTTCAGAGGCAGACATGTACCGTATTTTGATAAAAGGACACAAGAGATATTGGGGGTAAGTTACCATAATAAGTTACAAAGGCAAGGAGCTTATGATGGATGCAGTTCTGAAACTGAACCACTGTAGGAACTGGATAAGCCCTAGGGGCATTTGTTCGAAATATTTTTCTTCCTCTAACTATTTCTTGGCTGTTTTCCTCCAGGATGAATGAATGTTACCATGTAATGCATTCCCATGAAGCACCAGATTTTGCTCAGTAGATCAAAGTGTAACCACAACTCTTTTCCTCCACTCAGAAAAACAGCAGTTCAAAGAAATGCCACATGCTACTGATTTTGAAATGACACCATATCTTTCCAGGGCACTATGATGAAGTACCCTAAAATTAGCCTTCTTACTACTTTGTTAAGACTGCACGCAGGGAGGCAGGCAGCCCACAGTGAAGAGAGCAAAGAGGCACCGGAGAGGAAAAACCTGCGATACTCTCACAAGCAAGCAGGTCACACCACTGGACGGTGAGCTGGGCTGGCTTCTATTCAAATTTCCACAATGGATTGTTTAAACATAATTCATTGTACCAATGTTTTCTGGCATGGCGCTATGGAGGATACTACATAAGAAAACAGGGAAGGGTTGGTTTTACTGCCAAAGAACAAATGGGGTGGGCAGTGAGAATGAAGCAATTCTGTCAAAAAGAAAGTGGTGTATACTTTGAGTATGGTAATAGTTGCTAGCAGTGTTGTGTATTCGGTGGGTAGGAACATTAGAATAAATGTGGAATAGTATAGAAGGAGAGGGCTTTGTTTAAAAATTGGAGAAGCCTTAATTCATTTCAAGTCAGGACTAGTAAATCTTTATCCCAAAAGATGTTTTGACAACAACTCTCATAATTATTTACCATTTGGCATGATGTCTCGGGCTGCTGGGAAGCGAAGTCTAAAACACCTGGAAGGCCGGAGCTCCCCCAGTCTTAATTTCCATAGTTAATGGACTAAAGTTTTAATTCTGTAATAGGTGGAGTGAGAGTTAAGGATGTGCTTTTTAGAGTGCTTAGATTACTGTGGTTCTGGTGTTATAGTAAGGAATTAAAATATTAAAAGAGGTTTTTCTTTTTAATAATGAGTGGAAACCTCCATTAACTAAATACAGTAGTGTGTTCTGTTACTTCTCCTTCAGGCTGCAGTTCTATACTCACATCAGGGACTAAGGTAACTGAACCCAGTGGTACTTCACAGTAGACGTACAAAGGCTCACATAAACAGTACAGTATTCAGAAAGATGCCTGCCTACACAGAGCCTCAGGTAACATATAAATATATTTAAATACCAGTCAAAGACCACTATTAGGGAAATGAGGATGAGCAAATTAAATACAGACAATGGGGATCTAATCCCTATACAGCAGTGTTTCCAAATACATGTGATGGGGGGGGGGAGAGATGGGGCTATCTTAGTGCTTTAGATCTGTGTGATTCTGTTCAGAAGCTTCCCAAGGTAATTTCTGTTATGTAATTTCCCAGAAAACCTGTTTGCAGAGCCCCCGCTATTTTTTTTAACTACAGCTCCAAAAATCCCCCAGCCACAAGAATAATTTTGAAACTATATTCAAGGAAAACCTTTATGATCTTTCACAAGGCTTTTTGACCATATGAGCATAAGAAATTGTTGATGAAGCTGATCTGGATATTTAAAAAAAAAACTTGATCTCTCTCTGTCTCTGTGAGAATGCAGTAGTAGAGCCATAATCAGGACCAAAATAATGAAATATTGTTCCCTTTTTGTACTTTTTTTTAAATTCTCTAAACCAAGGCAGCTCATTAGTCAAGCAATGTCTTAATCCTCCTTTCCTGTTATATAGTCAACATTGATGATGACTTGTGCATACACCAAAAAAAATCAGGCAAAATGCAAAGAAACAAAACAATACAAAAACCACATGTGGTTTTATACTCAGATATATACAGTAATAATATTGGAGGCCCCTTGAGACAGTTTAAAGTGCTCAAACACAAACTCTACAGAATAGGAAGATGTTGGGGAAATTATGAACTATAAAAGCAGATTGTCATTCTGTCTACAGATAAAAAAAAAGGAATTTTATTTAGTGGTTCTTTTCACATATTGCTCATCATGTTGAGGATTCCAAATGTCCATAAGTTCCCCTGTGTTGCAAGGGCAGAGAGTGAAGTCATTGGCCTATTTGATATACAAATGCTAAGCCAAGGATAGGTTCAGCCCCTCTCCTTCAAATCAGTTTCAGGGAGCAGATTGGAAACACTTTGTTCTGTTTTAAATGGGCTATGATTATAATGTCAGCTGCACTGAGAACTATGGTTAGTTTTAACTAGGTTTCCAAACAAATCAAGATCAAAGCCACCATTTAAAAACTGCTTATTTGGACAAACCATAGTCTAAATTACCAACAGTTCAACGAACTGACAAACTGTAGTCATCTGAATATGGAAATACTCCTCAGGTCTCACTCAGAGAATGGGATGGAATTGTACAGTATGTGTCGGAATATATAATTATGCAACCCAATATGCATATATGTGAATATAAGAGTGAATGAATTGTATTTCTATAACAGCACATGTGTAGCTACTCAGATTCTTGTCTAATGTCAGCCAATAGGTAATTAAAGGGTTAACAGATATAAGAAAAAGTGATAGGATGAGAGTTGATCTGTTAGTGTCTGATAACTTGTCTGTTAGCATGAGGCTTTTCTCTTAATAACTCTGTTGATATGTAAGTATAGACCTGGCTTGCAGTTAGGACTTAAGCAGCAAAGAGCAAAATATTTGTTGCTTTTTGCTGCTTAAGAACCCTCTTTCTCCACAAATTGATCCACAATCCACTAGAGTAGTGGTCCCCAACCTTTTCCAATCTGCGGACTGGTTGGGGGAGTCTGTGGGGGGGGCGGCAGGGCACCCCCACATTCACAGGTATGTGGGGCACACTTGTGGGTGAGTGGGGTGGGCTCGTGTTGGTGGGCAACCCATGCGTGTGTGGGGGAGTCCGTGTGGCGGGAATGTATGCAGGGATGGGTGGGAGATCTGTCTCTGTGGACCAGTCATGCCAAGGCCACGGACTGACACCTGACGGGGATTGGGGACCCTTGCACTAGAAAGTATATGTTATTGCAGTTCTGTACATATTTGTTTGAAAGTAAACACTGAAGTCAATAGGACTTTCATATAATTAAGTAAATAGATAATACTGTATCTGGAAGTTGAGTCATGGCAATTGGACTTCTTTCTTTTTAGGTTGAAACTTTTCGCTACTCATCCAAGTAGCTTCCTCAAATAGATAATAATTCTGTAATATCCATAATCGTACACCTTTAAGAAAATACGGTAAATAAAAATTATGTACAATGTCTGAAGGTGCACAGCTGGTTTCAAAAATCATGGCATGTCAGAAGTGCTATTCATGAAGCACTTCTTAATGTGTGCCGCACAATGGTTGTGATGGGAGCTGTGTGATCGATTGCACAATTATACTGTGCAATCCTCAATCCCTGGACATAACACCCAGCGCTTTTGTGCAGGCATACATTATATTAAGACAAACAGGATTTTAGCCAATATATTATGGATAAGACTACTGAAATATAAACAATTCATTAAAATTATTAAGTATAAATAAACCACCCCATTATTGCTACTGAATCACAAGACTGGGTTCCCTTTTCTTGTAAGATTTCTATCCATTATAAGCACACTTGGCTTCTCTGCGAAGCTTGTGGAACTCAGGCTCTTCTAAATAGTTACATAATGAGTATCAACTTGTCATAGACTTGTTCGCTTTTCCAATAAGTTTGTAGTATCAAGAACACCAGCTATTGATGTTCACAGCTTTATTCATCAGCACTGCCCAGGAATGAATATAGAAATAGGATTTATCATCCATTAAAGGAATGCTATTTCTGTCACAGAAGGTGGCGATAGCTTATTTAATTAGCAAACAAATCATTTATATTCAATGCAATGTACAACAGAGTTGTTTTCTAATTTTTAAAGATGTTTGGATTTTATTCTATGATCACGGATAAAATAAAGACAGATGGGCAAATTTGAGTACTCATATATTGTCAGCCTAAAAATAAGGATTAGTATAAGACATTTTACTGCTTGAGGTGGAGCACTCAACACCCTCTCTTCTTTAAGCCAAGATACATAGTACATAAAGCTAGCCAAGTTATTTTTGGCACCTGAGGCAGGGAACCCCACAAGTTCTATCTTTCCCTGAAAATTACACAAACACTTCTTCCCCTGCTTGACAGCAAAAATACAATAATAAGAAATAAATAATAATTTCCTACTTTTTATGGTTCCGGTCCCACCAATATGCTCCCTGAGGCAGTTGCCTTACTCTGCCTGATGGGTAGGCTGTTCTCCTAAAAAGAATTACCTTGCGTCTTCTTCACTTACATTTCTGAATAAATCAACATGAAAATGAGAATGGTGATGGGGACCTCATGTGTCACTCCTGTTCCTAATCTTCACAGGTCCAAAGGTGCTATCTGTACAGTCTCTGCACTCTTACTTTAGCATACATATGGGCTTCTAGATGTGTGATATAAGACTGGCAAATTTCCACAGTACCATATTAATCATACAGGGGAGCATTAGTGCCTTCTTGCATAGAAGCCCATGTAGCTTTCGTTCAGAAAATACCTTTAATAGCCAGAAGGCTGAGTGTGAGGTCATCAAGTACAACCCCACCCCCACATGTTCCATTGTACTCAAATCAATGTTAGGAGATGATTCTGGAATGTCATTAGATGTTCAGAATATATGTCTATCTTCACCGTAATATGGGAATGTATTGTATGGTATATTGTAGACGCTTAAAATATATATTCATAGTCTGTATACAAAGAAATTTATTTGATCTCATTTATATGTCCTAAATACATATCCAGATAAAAATGCCTCAGAGAAACAAATTTGGCATATTTCCAAGGGAAGTTCCTAAGCCAGGGTGTGGCCAGCAGGAGAAACTTTCTAAATAACTTCTGCATTTCTGTGTGACATATGGAGGGCACTATCAAGTGGCCAGCCTCAGCTGACCGTAGAAATTGTGTGGGGATGTATGAAGAAGAGCTATTTATAGAAAGACTTGACACACCTTTTAAAAATCTATCACCTACTTAAAACTTCAGCATCTGAAATGGGTTAGATGCTGTCATCAGCATTATTTCATATCAACCCTCATTTAAAAAAATGTCTTTCTCTTTATGTCTTTTCATAATATACAGTTAAAAACAAGAGGGAAGGAAAGGAAGAAGGAAAGGGGGGCCAGAGGGTGAGTGAGTTTTTGATTTGTTACACTGACAATAGTATTTTCTTGTCTTCATAACAGAAATCTGGGCTACAGCTCAAAACCTTGATTACAGCTCACATATTTCTGATGAAAGTTTTAATGGCCTTCCTTGCTAGTACTTCCATTTTCCTGAGTTTCCACTGAGTAGCAAATTTGTGTTTCTTCCCAAAGGTGTGATAATGCAGGTTGGATTGAAGATCTGCCTTCTTTGAACAGAAGGGCCACAGAAAGCGCAGCCACAGAATTTTCAGAGTTTTTTTCCCTTCCTGTGTCGTTTTGTAGCATTTTCAGAGAGAGCGGAGAAACCCTCTTACACAGACAAATCCAACCTCTTGTTTCATATAAGAGTATACCCACAACGCTGTCTGCTGTGCAAAGGTCCATGCAGAGCAGGAATAATTCTTTATTACAGGGTAGGCTGAAAAGAGTTCCATATCTTATATTTTGATTAGGCATCCTTCAGTCTTGAGAGACTATAGTAACATGCTCTATATGGAGGACTTGAAACAGCGTCTAGTGTGGCTGAGAAGGCCAATTTGAGAGTGACAATCCATTCCACACTGAAGACAAATACAAACTGTACCCCATCCAGCTCCCTGATTTTGCTGCTTTTGGGACTGCCTCTTTGCCTCGGCCTGCTGGACAAGGCTCTCTTCAA